CGCCTGGATCCGACAACACGCTCAGACATCCCTACGCAGCTCATCATCTCGACTTCATCACAGCTCTCACCATCTCCCCCCTCGTCCCTCGACTCTCACACGGCCCATCAAATCCGTCATCGCCCTCAAGTTCCTCCCCGGATTCAGCGAGCCCACTCTCGCGGTCTTGTATCAATCCCAATACACCTGGTCAGCCAGACTCGAAAATCATGCAAATACCGCCGCCCTCATCGTCCTCACTCTCGACTTAGGCTCCAACCATTTCCCCATCATCTCTCATACCACAAACTTACCCTACGATGCACATGGCTTGGTGGCCTGTCCCAAGGAACTCGCTGGAGTACTCGTGCTGTGCGCCGATATGATATTACACGTCGATCAGAGTAGCAAGATCATCGGACTGGCCACCAATGGCTGGGTCAAACACACCTCTGAGCTGCAGATTCCGCGCCAGGATACCGTCAGATTGATCACCCCAACCAACAAGATCAGCGGACATCGATCAACAACCAACAAGTCAGATGAACGGCCAGAGGATCTAGAGGATGGAGAGGAACAGGACGAGAGCGGTGTGCCAGAGGGCCACGAGAAACTGCTGGTTCGGCTCGAGAACGCCAAGATCGTTTTCAGCAGAGCGACCGGGCCTTCGTCTTCCTGCGGACAGGCGAGGTCTTCAGCCTCCAGTTCCTACCCGATGGACGGACGTTGACCAAGCTGGTCTTGGAGAAACTCGCCCTCCTCTCAATCATCCCGTCCACCGTCCTCAAAGTTAACAACGAGTGTCTCTTCGTCGGCTCCATGGCCGGCGATTCGGCGCTCTATATCCTCGATCACCTTCGCCCTCGCTCCTCTTCTGACGACGACAACGACGATGGTCATCAGCTTCCCTCGAGTTCAATCATCCAACCCGACAAAGCTGCCAAGAATCAGTCGAGCCTCGACTTTGATGAGGGTACGAACTCTTGTCTCAGTTACTTCAAAGATCTACATGGACAGATACCTCAAGTTTTCCTACAAAAAAAAACCTTCTTGATTCCTGCGGAGAATATTTTTAAAGGGGAGGGGAAGGGCCTATCGATCTGACTGAACACGATGTTTTTGATTCCGCACTGTGGGATAGATATATACGGCGACCGAACGGAGACGGACCCGGTCCGACGGACGGACCATTCGCAGTTGTACGATGACCGTCCGTCCAACGGGGCGGATGATGGGAGGCCCGGCGCTGGCGCGCATTTGGCAGAGCCCTTCTTGCGACTTGGCGACGTCATTCAGGCGCATGGACCTATTCGCGACTTCACTATGGCTGCAACTGGGGTCGAAAATGTCAGATCCCTCTAGATCTCTCTGATTCGCACTGGTTTTTCTCACTGTAAATATCACTTGTTTCGTAGATGCCGCTCGAACTGCTCGCTTGTACGGGAACTGGTGATTTGGGAGGATTGACAGTCTTTCATGTCAGTGCAACTCAACGCATCTTTTGTTTGTTTGTTGACGATGATGGGGCTGATTATTCTGCGGCTTTCAGAGAGAAATACCGCTACGGAAGAGGCGCAAATTGAGCTTCGAGAGTCCATCGGCTTCCCATATCAATGCACTTTTCTTCACCTCGCTTGTGGTGGAAAGTGGTGGGTTATCGGAGGAAAGAAAGGTGGTTTGGATGGGCCGATCGGGGCCCCGGACTGAGGTGCGCCAGTCCACACCTTTCAATTAATTTTTTTTTTGTGATTTTTTTCTTTTCTTTTTCACTAAAGGAGTAACTTAAATGTTAACCTGTTCAAGTTCATTTCGGGCCCTTTGATATAGATAGCAACGTATGGAGAGTCTGGAGAGCTTTCGCTTATCAACACTTTCCCTGAAAAAACACTCGCTGTTTCGCCATTCTTTGGGAAACAATTTGTGGTGCAAGTTACAAATACTGCCATCAAATTATTCACATCTTGTGAGGCCTGTTCTAATCCCTTAAGGATGTCCAGGATTGTTCGACTGATAATCAACTCAAAATCTTAGCTCTGGAGGAAGTGCAAGTGATTCAACCCGAACCGGCCGTCAAAATCTTGCGTGCCAGCATCGTGGACGATTACGTGATGTTGGAAACTCACTGTGGCTTGAAGCTGATTTATCAAGGCGATCATGACTCCAAAACTCTGAGCAAGTTGCCATTTCCGCCAGATGTGAGTGAAACGTTAGCCCGGACGGCTTTGAAAAAAAAAAAAAAAAAACTAGCCGATGTCTTTAATCATTTTAAATTTCATGCCCATCGTCGACAACCTAGACTGACGAAATCGAGACTGCAAGTCTTTTGAAAGCCGCGTTACCCATCCACACCTTCAAGCATGCCGCCAATCATCAGTTTTTTACGAAGCGGAAAGCTGGTAATGAAGACGACGATCTGTATAATAACGGCCCAACTGACGCCAACGGCGATGTCGAAATGAACAACAATGACGCAAACGATCAGGAGCCCCACAAGCCACAGAATCCAGACGTCTGCGGCGATGCTTGTTGGCTCCTTACTACGACTAAAAATGGATGTTTCCATGTGCGAACAAAAAAAACCCTCGTTCACTTTTTTTTATATGTTACCAGTTATTGACTTTGGTGTTTACTTGATTCTGATGTTTCTAAAAAAAGATTCGAAGTTTGCCGACACTGGCGATTGTGTTCACAGCAACGAGGCTTGATCTGTTGCCTGAAACGATGGCTGAGGAGGATAAGCTCGAGGGCGATGCTCAGCCGGTGGAGCTTTTTGGATTGGTCGACCAGGCTGCTCCGGTGGAGCCGATTGCGCATATCTTTGGCTTCCTCACCGGCGCCATCGCGTCCCGGCCTCATCTTGCTGTAAGGATTCGACTATACACGTCTCAACTGTTGCTCTGAGTCAATGTCGGCTGACTTGTTTTCTTTTCTATTGTTTTCCTGATGTGATTGATTGATGTTCATGTCGGGTTCAGGTGATGCTCAAAAATGGCGCATTGGCGGTCTACGAAATCCTCTGCTCGTTCACGATTCCCTTGCGACTGTCCGAAAAGGATGGCCATCCTGCAGTCTTGCTCAAAAAAGTAATCGGCCGTCAATTCGAGGCTGTCGAAAATGTGGACGAAGTGTCTGGTGTTGAATCTGAGGACCATGAGATGGGACGGACCACCGAGATCGACGAGCAAATCAGTCCTCAATCCAGGAGCTTTACATCCATACAGATGGACGGAAAGTTCAAGGGGGTTTATCTAGCGGGTCAGCCGCCGGTGTGGTTATTATCGACTGACCATGGACCGTGTCGGATCTATGACTCTCCGGATGAGAAGACTATCCATGGTATCGCCCAGCTCCCTGACGGCTTTCTGATGTCTCTGAGCGAGGCCTCCGTCCAAGATGAGGAGCCGTCTCAGGCCTGCGACCCTGCATCGCTCTGGGAGACCTACATATCGGAATACGTCTGCTTGGACCGCGAAATCCCGTCCACACTCGTCAAAACCGGCCGGCCATTCAATAAGGTCTTCTACGACTCCGCATCTGAAACGGTCGTTGGGGCCTCCTATCTCGAAACCGCTTTCGCTAACTTCGACGAGGAGGGCAATCTTATGTGGCAGCCTGATGGTTGGTGGTTGCTTGTTTTTGTGGGGATCTTGCAGTCAAGCAACGTGATCTGAATATTCGTTTGTGCTTGTAGACGACTCGTTGATCCGCGCGACCACGTTCAGAAGTTCGTTGGAATTGATCCTTCCTGGGAAATGGGTAACCATAGATGGGTACGAGTCCACTCATCTTTTCCATTCAATCGGTTTTTCTTCTTCTTCTTCTTTGTGTGGGTGTGTATGTTTCAAGTACTTGCTCACCTTGTCCCGTCACTTCTAGATACGAGTTCCAACAGAATGAGTGGGTGACGTCGATGGCCAATGTCGAGCTGGATTCGCGGAGCACGGTTTCTGGGCGTCGGCAGTTCGTTGGGGTCGGCACTACTTGTAACCGTGCCGAGGATCTTGCTGCCCGTGGTGGAGTCAGTTTCCACCCCCCCCCCCCTTCTTATATTACTCTTATCAATTTTTCATCTTCATATATGTGGTTGTGTGTCTCGGCCAATTTTACCCTGATCAATCTGATTGAATCCCCCCCAGATTTACGTCTTCGAAATTGTCGTCGTCAATCCGGCCCAGAATCATCGCACTTATAATCGCGCTTTGAGGCTCCGCTATTATGAGGAAACTAAAGCTTGCGTGACTGCCGTCGACGCGATTAATGGATATTTCCTTCATACTATGGGACAAAAGGTGATCACATTTTCCTTTTTTGTACTACAAATGTAGGATGTGTTGATGGATAAGCGAGTGCTAAAGATTCAAGACAACTTTCTTTTTTGGTCAGTTGTATGCGAAATGTTTCGAGCAGGATGAGAGACTGTTGGCGGTAGGCTTTCTGGACATCAAGCCTTATACGACGTGCATGCGAATTTTCAAGAACTTCATCTTGTTAGGAGATGCGGTGAAAGGGATCACGTTGGTAGCGTTCCAAGTGAGTCTTTCGCTCTCCTTAAACCCCCTTCCCCTTCCCCTTAATCATGTGCAATGCTGAGACATGGTAAAATATTATCTTCCACTTTTTGATCGGTAGGAAGAGCCGTATAAGTTGATCGAATTGGGCCACACTTACGTCGATCTGAAATGCTCGACAATCGATTTCTTGGTCATCGATGGGAAATTGGCTATCGTGGCCACCGATCTGAACGGGGTCATTCGGATCTTCGAATATAATCCAACCAGTTTGTTTCTGCTTCTTTTAATGGTCTTTTTCGGATCCTCAAAATGGGATTGATTGTCTGATGCTTTACCCCCGTTTTTTTCTTTTTGTTTAGATATTGAATCTCAGGGCGGTCAGAAGTTGCTCTGTCGATCCGAGTTTAATACCTCTAGTGAAATGACATGTTCGATGCAATTTGGAAAACGCCTTTCGGCGAAAGATGAAGCGAAAGTCATGGGCACCTTCTTCGGTAAGCCCTCTCTCTCCGTTTTTTTTTTTCCTTTTTTTTCTGTCGGTTGGCAAGACGTGGATTTGGCTGATCGTCTGGTCTTCCTTGTGCATTGTATTTGTTTTTTTAGCGAGTTTGGATGGCTCGATCAGCTCGTTAGTGCCCGCCAAAGAGGCGGTGTATAAGCGTCTGCAACTAGTCCAAACCCGACTCACCAGACACATCCAACATTTTGCGGGCTTGAATCCCAAAGGACACAGGTATCTTGAACGGTCTCTCTCTCTTATTGTCGAGATGTGTGTAGGTGGCTAATCATGTCTTGTACATGCTTCTGGAATATCTAGGACGGTCAGAAACGATCTCGTCTCTAGGGCTATCAATCGCGGCATCTTGGACGGCGAGTTGCTCATCAAATTCCACCTCCTCTCCGTCACTCAACAGGCCGAAATCGCCGGGCTTGCTGGCTCGGATCGCGAAACCGTCTTGGTCAATCTTCTCAACTTGAGAGGCTTGTGGTAACTTCTCTTGTTTTTTTTTGCCCCTCTTTGCTTTTCCATTATTTATTTATTTTTTCTTAATCACTGTGGTCTTCTTGCTCTCTTTTTTATCATTGTATTTGGGAACTTGGTTTTTTTTGGGTTTTTTTGGTTTTGTCTTTGGTCTCCTTTTTGAAGATTAAATTCGCACCGAACGTGGTCCGTTTGTAATTTGATGCTGTATCTATGTACATAGCTCCTCTCTAAATCTAATCCGAACATCTTGATCACGACTGTTTTACACATGGATGATATCAGTATGCAACCAGATGGTGAGATCTGGACCGCTACATACAAGCTTTGGCACAAGAGCTGCTCAGCTTCATTTTACCTCAAAAACCAATCAAATCATGAAGGAGCTAGATCCATCCCAATGTTTTCGGTCAGTCTTTTTCTAGCCTCTTGTAGTCTCGCATCTTCTTTTCTGATGTCTATCCTTACGGATATGTACAAATATGGTGAGCGCAAGCTTCGAGGTATCCACGCAAGTCCCGGCTGTCTTGGCAAAAATTTTCACACTTCTTGGATCCCCCGGGACGCTCTCCAAACTCCCCTATGTGGGAGGGGCAGCTTCGTCGCCAGTGCCTGGGTCAGACAGGCTGCCTTCCAGTACATATGTCAAGGTCTCTGGCTCAGTTCACAATCAAGTCATCCTCGTCCTGCTAAGTAGATTGGCGTTGGTGGAACTCAAAGCCATTCATCATTGTCCTTATTGTTCCAAGCGTTATGTAAAACTGGCTCACTAGTTTCATTCCTTTTTGAAGAAACTCATTGTCTTTCTTTGAGAACCACGGGCAACATTAAAAAAACAAGAATCACAAAACATCTGGACAATCGTTTTATGGGGTTTGGTTCTCTCATGGGCTTGGATTAGGATAGATAATGGGGAAAAAAAAATAATTGCAGTTCAATTTAGGCCTTCTTGTTTTGTATTACTATTTGGGCTCCTGGGGTTGGGACAAGTTCCAAAAAAGTTTGGCGAGTGAGGTTAATGAAAGTCAATGAGCTGATTAGTCGGAAAAGAATAGCGCCCTCACGCACCATCGTCAAGATCAGGTAATACATCAATACGTCCGTCGTGGACTGCCTGCTTGTTTCAAGCTGATGATGAGCAGAAAAACTGGCTTCAATTCAGGATGCAAATTTGAAGTGTGTGAATGATCGGGTCAAGTTCAACTCACTGTTTGCTTGAGTGTGACATAATGGGATTTCGGTTCTGACTGAAAGCCCAAGGGTTTCATCAACTTTTCGAATGAATGAGAAGAAACGGGCGGACTGACGCTGGTCATGATCATCACAACACAACATTTTCCAAGTGCTTGGCGCCCCGGAGCCCGGTTTGCAGCCGTTTTCTGTTGATTATGTAGAAGGGCGCAAAGATCCTTGAGACTTCGCAAATTCCTCCACCACCACTCAGCCCAGTATAGTCTCAAGTCAGGAATTCAGCTTTTCGGTTCCTCCCTGACAAGGGCGCGGTCAAAGAATAACTCCCTTACCCGGGCTGATGGGTTTGTATGGCAGGATAGAGAGGAGCCATGGAGGTGAAAAATTCAGAGGAAGAAACTTTTGAACCATAAACTACTCACGCCCTGAGCACAGATTGATAGTTCCAAGACACAGGATAAGGCTGTAAATCGCAAAGGTCTGGTTGTGGAACTCAAGCTGATGCCTGTTGGTGACAGGTTTTATATCAGTGGGTTGCTGAGCCACATATTGACATTCATTGAATTTGTAGGCTCAAAGGTTCTTGCTTGGGTCATGCGATGTGGCTATGGTTAACTGACGCCCCCCCTAACGTAACAAAGTCCTCCCTGTGCGGGAGGTCGGTTTTGGGTGGAGCTTAAGTTTGGCCCGGTGTTTTATATCAGTGGGTTGCTGAGCCACATATTGACAACCGTCCGGTTAAAATATTCTCCGGCGCTCGGCATCACACAGGCTCTTTGGCCGCTTTCCATTTCCTCGAAACAAATTCAACCCACATCAACGACAGGGAACGGCGGATTTGCATCGTGCAAATCATCTCATTCGAGAACTGGAACTTGAAATCAGCGTGTTTAGCCGAACTGTGCAATCCAATTCCACAATCCAAAGCAACCTTTTTTTTTGTTGGAGGGTCATCATCCCCGCCAACCGAATGAGGTTTGTTTTTTCGGATTGGCCTGGGGAGATCGAGCCGGTTGGAACTTGGATCCCAAAAAAACGCACGAGAACTTTGGGACCGGGACAAAAAAAACATGGCATCTCAATCCGTCTCCGAAAATAACTTGAACCGGGGTCAAAAATGCCAAACACAGTCGGATGAGTGAAATCCGGCTCCGACTAGCCTGACAAACGTCCCTCCAAGGATTTCTTGGACTTGATTTTTTATCAGCATGTTTATTCATCTTCATTACCTTGAACTCTTCCAGGGCCGTAACTCAGATCTATTTCCATCTTCAGTTAATATTCTTATTCTGAGTCATCTACACGCTTCATGGAGCTTCTCATTTGCTCTCTGATGTCTATCCTTACAGATATGTTGAGCGGAAGGACCGTCGGATGGGTGAATGTGCCGTATGCTTCATATATCCGCCTCTCTGCTTCGAGGTGTGCAGGCGACCCGCCTCCATACCTTATCAATATTTTCAACACTTTTTGGATCCTGCGGGACGCTCTGAAAAACTCGCCTATGGGAGGGGCAGCTTCACCCCCAGCGCCAGTGGTCCAGACAGATAGGCAGCCTTCGACCCCGGGTAATTTGTGTCGAGGCAGTAATACACATGTAAGAGGTTTCTGGCTCAGTTGGCAATCAAGTCACCCTCGTCCTGCCAATCAGCTTGGCATCGGTGTTGTTGGAACTGGAAGCCATTCAACATTTATCTTACTAGTTCGGAATTTCTTTGAGAATCATGCAACTGGTTGTATCACTAGTTTTTTTTTTTTTGTATTTTAGAAACTCAATGAGCTTTTTTGAGAACCACAGGTAAAGAAAAACCACGAAACATCTCGACAATTATTTGGTTTGTTTCTCTCAGGGGCTTTGAACGAGATAGATAATAAAATAATTGCGGTTTAATTTATGAAGGCCTTTGTTTTGTGTAATCGGGTTCCTGGGGTTGGTCCAAGTTGCAAAACGTTTTTGGCCAGCGGGTCAAAGTCAATGAGCAAAGTCGCACAAGAATAGTGTACAAAAACTATTCACGCACCATGGCCTGAAAATCAACTTCGTGGACTTCCGACGTATCTCAAGCCTGATGATGAGAAGAAATTGCGTTCAATTCAGGATGCAAATTTCAAGTGTAGATGATCTGGTCAAGTTCAACTCACCATGCGCTTGACAGACTTGGGGGGACGGCGGTAGCAATTTATTTTGACTGAATGACCAGGTGTTTTTGTCAACTTTCGAAAGAATGAGAAGAAACTTACGGACTTACCGTGGCCTTCAACATCACAACAATGTGACTTAAAATAACTTGACGACTCGGAGTTCGGGCTGCAAGGACCGTTGGCTGATGAGAAGGGCTCAAATATCTAGTTAGCTGGAAATCGAGAGGCTGATGTTCAAAGTGATAATTTTGTCTTGAGAGTAAGCTCCGCCAATCGCTGGGTTCAATTCCTCAAGAATTGACCTCAAGCATTGGGTGAGTTGGATTGGGCACCACGATTAGTCGAGTTCGCAAAGTCCTCGACCACAACACAGCCCAGTACACCCACAAGTGAGACATTTTTCTTTATAGTTCCTCCCTGATGGATAAGGGTGGGAAAGAAGATCTCCCTTACACAGAGGAATCGATACATTTGTAGAACAGGATAGAAAGGAGCTGTAGGGGTTGAGAATGAAGATGATGAAGCTTGAGCTACAATCACTCACGCAAGCCTGGTCCTTCTATCCCCGCACACAGCTTGATAGTTCCAATAAACAGGATAAAGCTGCAAGGCCCAAAGGTACGCATAATTAATGATGATTTTGGTTTTGTTAGGATTTAATCGGATGTAGTCAAAGCCAATTATTCTGAGGAAAGCGTCCTTGATTGTGGATGGTTGTGGGACTCCAGTCGAAGCCTGTTGTTGGCAGCTTGTATATTCAGTGGGTTGCATGTGCACACTGAGCTACACTGATAAATGCAATCGCCGTGAAAGTGGCTAAAAGCAATCAGTTTTACAAAAACAATATGTACAGATCGTTGGTACTTGTTAACTGACGCCCCCGCCGCCACCCTTGGGTATCCTCCGGCGGCGCTCGAAATCACTCTAAGAGCATCTCCAGCAGAGCCGCGACTGGGCGATTTTCAGCCCAAATCAGCGGCTCGAGGGAGAATTTTGGGGTCCAGCAGAGCCGCAAGTAGACCCGCAACTGATCGCCCCCCACCTCGCCCCCGGCTATAAATCCAAGGCAATAGCCGCCTTGGCAGAGACCGGCTACTCGATCCTCACTGTTTTTCTCACAACACACAACAACATGACAACCACCATGATTCTCAATTGACTACTTCACCACCTAGCCACACCTCCCCCACAGCGGTCGCTAGTCGTCTACCAGAGCCTGGCGACTTGGCCAATTGCCCCCTGCTACCAATTGCCAGTCTGCTGTGGGAGCAGTGTGACAGAGCTGAGACAGGGGTGTGATATGTGGTCGCAGGCCGCTAATCGGACAGAAATCGACCCCGGCTCTGCTGGAGATGCTCTAAGTGTCTGGCCCGTTTGGATTCCCTGATAAACCAATCACCCCACATCACGACTGGGCATGGCGCATTTTTGTGACCCAACTCAACTCAACTCATGCGAGAGTATGAACTTGAAATCAGCGGATTTAGCTAGCCTCCCTCCGGTCGGCGCAATGCGACAAGTGGTTTACCACTCCGACAAAGGAGGGCAGGGACTTAGCTAAGTTAGCGGATTTAGCCGGACTGTACAATCAAAAATCCAACAATTAAAAGCAATGTTTTTGTTGGTGGGTCATCATCCTCGCCAACCGAATGAGGTTTTTTGGATTGCCCTGGGGATATCGAGCCGGTTGGATCCCAAAGGATGCGCGAATGTTGTGATTCTGGCGGGGATCTCCGGGATAAAGTCCTGGATGGGGGCAAAATTATAGCATCTCATCTGTGTTCTTTTTCTCCTTGATCCCCTTTTTCAGTGATGTATTTTAGCAGATAGAAAAACTTTGACCAGGTCAAAAATACCAAAAATGTGTTGTCCTGGGACAAATACCCTAGCAGTCAGATGGATGAAATCCGGCTCCGACTCCGTACCGGATTACAATCAAACCTGACAACAGTCCCTCCAAGGATATCTTGGACTGCATTGTT